GGGAGTCACGTCCCCCAGCCATTACGCCAGCTGCTGGTCCCACAAGGGGAGGTTTAACAGGCTAGGACGCCGAGCCGTGTGGCAGGGCTGGGTCACAACCGTGCTCATGGCACTCAGCGTCTGCTCCCGGCCACGTGGTGCTGTGCTCCTGGTGCCATGGAGCACAGAGGCTGTGTCTGCCTCAGAGGTCCCCAGCCGTCTGCCGGGCAGGCACACGAGCACGCACGGTCTGGTCCGGACAGGCCTGGTTCGGGCCCCCGGCGGTTCTCGGGGGGTGGCTCTGACCTGTGAGCCCGGGCCCCTCCTCGCTGCGGCTGGCCCTGACTCCTTGCCTTGCACTGTCTCCCAGGACAACTGCCAGCTCCTCTTCAACCCCCGCCAACTTGACGATGACAAGGACGAGGTCGGGGACCGCTGTGACAATTGCCCCTACGTCCACAACCCTGCCCAGATCGACACAGACAGCAATGGGGAGGGGGATGCCTGCTCCGTGGACATTGACGGGGACGGTCAGTACCACGCTCCTGCCGCCAGTGCAGCCCCGCGGGCAGCCTGCGCACCGCTCTGCGCTCCCACGTGAGAGCACGTGTCAGGGCCAGGTGCAGCACTCGGAAGTGCAGCTCGGCATGGAGCCCGCCCTGAGGCCCGTCTGCTCCAGGCTGCCCTCTCCGGCCTCAGGCCCCTGGAGAGGTGCGAACGGGCATGTCCCCGACCACAGCCTCAGGCCCCTGGAGAGGTGTGAACGGGCATGTCCCCGACCACAGCCTCAGGCCCCTGGAGAGGCGTGAACGGGGGGATGCCTGCTCCGTGGACATTGACGGGGACGGTCAGTACCACGCTCCTGCCGCCAGTGCGGCCCCGCGGGCAGCCTGCGCACCGCTCTGCGCTCCCACGTGAGAGCACGTGTCAGGGCCAGGTGCAGCACTCGGAAGTGCAGCTCGGCATGGAGCCCGCCCTGAGGCCCGTCTGCTCCAGGCTGCCCTCTCCGGCCTCAGGCCCCTGGAGAGGTGTGAACGGGCATGTCCCCGACCACAGCCTCAGGCCCCTGGAGAGGTGTGAACGGGCATGTCCCCGACCACAGCCTCAGGCCCCTGTGCTCTGGCGGCTCCATTCTGGGGACAGCTCTGCCCACACTCTGAGAGTCCCTGCTCTCCCGCAGCCTGCCCCTCCTGCAACATCCCTGTGTACTCTGTGCGTGTCCACCCTTTCCTGGTGCTGTTCCCGTGGGCTTCTCGGCCAGGCAGGCATTTCTGAAGATCCAGACTCGGCCCGCACTCTGGCCCTGCCTTCATGCCACCCCATGCCACGCTGCTCCTCAGCCACCCTGGGGAGTCCTTCCGCAGCCCCGTGTTGGCCTCAGTCCCTCCTGACACCCTCAGGCGTGCTCTGTGGTCTCATAGCACGTTTTCTGGGTCTGACTTGGCTCTTATGTTAGAGATGGGGGGATGGAGATAGAGAGATGAAGAGAGAGACCGAGAGAGCAAGCGAGGGAGAAGAGAGGAATGGCCTCCTGAATGCAGTCGGGCCACTCTGCGGTACCGTAGCCCCAGTTCCACGCCTTGTAGGCCCTAGGAAGGTGAAGCCATGCTTGGTGTGTCATTCAAGGGGGTCTGGGACTTGAGCCCGGTGGGCACTGCTGAGTGGTCGGGCGGTGAGCTGGCCCAGCACAGCGCTTCAGCCGGTCCTCCCTTGTCTCCAGAATGCATCTGTGCTGGGCCGCCTTAAGGGTTTTGGAGCTTAGGAGGCGCCTGTGGCTGCTCTGGGACTCCTGGGTGTCGGTCCCCAGCTCCCGCAGCTCGATGGCCTTCATCCCCACCTCATCCCAGTCAGGCTGCCCCTCAGCTCCCTCTTCACTTCCCGCCTGAGCTGTGCAGGGTGTCCTGTGCCGTCACTGCCAGCGGCACCGAGGCCTGGCCAGCTCCTGCCTCCACGTCGATGGGGGCAACCTCTAGCTTCGGGGTTCCTGAAAGAGGGAATCCCATCGAGAGGCCCCGCCACTCGGCTTTGGGGGAGGGCGCGTGTGCCCTGGGGCTGGTGTGTGCAGAGGTTCGGGACCGCCCGGGGCTTTGCCCCGACAGCACGACCACCGCTCTCCGTGGTGGGGCCAGTACTCCTACACTGTGCTGCCAGCCGGGGCACGGCTGTGCTCCGCGCACTGATGACCTTCTGGTTCCACCACTTAGTAGAGACGGGGGCCGTGGCTGAGTGGGTGGAGAAAGCCAGGGCGTCCCTGAGTCACTGTCTTCCTGCTCCGCCCTGCTGTGCTGTCCTGCCTGTCGACAGACGTCTTCAACGAGCGAGACAACTGTCCCTACGTCTACAACACCGACCAGAGGGACACTGACGGCGATGGCGTGGGGGACCACTGCGACAACTGCCCCCTGGTGCACAACCCCGACCAGGTACTGCCCACACGGCCGGCATGGTCCCACCGCCTGCTGGGACGAGGCGCGGGGTGTTTCGGCAGCTCCCAGAGGGAGCAGTTCTGAGCCCGAACCCAGCTCAGCTCACGCGTCCCCGTGGCTGCGGGAGGTGACTTGGCGCGGTGTGTGTCTCCCTTGGAACCAGGCAGCACCACACGCGTGCACTGATGGGGACGTGCGGTCGGCTCTTCAGCCGGCTCTGGAGGAGACAGGCAGGCAGCAGCCTCGCGGTGGGTCTGTTGACTACATGGGCTTTGGAACATTTGTGGAAAATGGAATTGAAGAATGTGTTTCTTTGGGGGCAAAAAAAAAAAAAAAATTTAGAAGCTTATACTTTTTTCTGTAATATGCATTTTCTATGAACATTTTGAAGGCCTGCAGGTAGAGGCTGAACTGTGGGGAGCTCACGCTTTCTGATGGGGAGACCAGCCAGTGTCGCCCTGAGCGAACAGCCTGCAGCCGCCGGCAGGAGAGGCCCTGGTTGAGGCCTTGGCGCCCGCGACATGGGCTCAGCTCCCTGCCCAGAGTCTGCAGCCCCGTAGGGCAGGGCCGGCTCTCGGCCCAGGGCCTGCTGTATTCATCCGCACTGCCGGGCCGATGGGTGCCACGCACCTTCTCCTGTGCCCTGTCTGCAGACGGACGTGGATAATGACCTCGTCGGGGACCGGTGTGACAACAATGAGGACATCGACGAGGACGGCCACCAGAACAATCAGGACAACTGTCCCTACATCCCCAACGCCAGCCAGGCCGACCACGACGGCGACGGCCAGGGTGATGCCTGTGACTTCGACGACGACAACGACGGGGTCCCTGACGACAGGGACAACTGCAGGCTGGTCCCCAACCCCGGCCAGGAGGACTCGGACGGTAGGTCCCTGGGCGTGCGAACAAGGAGCTGCGATGGGTCACCGCGCAGCAGGTGCAGGGCTGGACTGGGGGTCACCCTGGAGCCTGAAGGTGCTCGGAGCGGGAGTAGATCACTCTGCCACCCACCGGGACGGTTGCCTCGCCGTGTGAGCTCTGCCGGGTGCCGTGCGCTGTGCACGTGGGGTGGAGAAGGCTCAGCCCCTGCACCGTTCTCAAGATGGTGTGAGCCAGGACATGGCCGTGACGGGTAGCACCTGCTCTCGGGGCAAAGCAGACGCAGCTGTGAGCACGCAGAGTGGGCTGCCCCGCACCTGCAGCTCCCGCACACGTCTCGCGGTGTGGTTTGCTGTGGGCTGGGTCAGAGGTCAAAGGGCAGAGTCAGCCTCTCCCCTCGGAGTTGCAGATCACAGGGGCACGGCTGTGCTCGGTGGCGGTTTGGATGCCCTTGGGCTTCAGCCGAGGCTATGAGGTTGCGGCGCCAGAGCAGCCTCCGAGCCCGGGCTGGGCAGGAGCTGGCTGACTCACACGCACGTGGGCGGCCCCGAGGCCCAGCTGGCTACGCGGAGCTCCCCGAGCAGCACGAGGGCGTTGGCAGAAAGCTCAGGGCTCCGTCCTCCACCCCTGTCCCCCGCCCCTGTCCCCTGCCCTCCATCCCCCGTCCCCCGTACC